CCCATCCGTCTGGCCACTGCATCCATGACGCACCTATCCGCCGGGTCACTACCTCCACGATACACCCATCCGTCGGCCTGTTTCCTCTACTGCACACCCACCTTTGCGGGTCATTGTATTCTTGAAACACCCATTTCTTTGGGTCATTCTTGAAACACCCATATCTTTGGGTCGCTGCCTCCACGACACACCCATATGTTTGTGTCACTGCCTCCACGACACGCCAATCCCTCAGGCCGCTGCCTCCACGACACACCAATTCGTCGGACCGCTGCCTCCACGACACACCAATACACTACGATACACAAATTTGTCAGGCCACTGCCTCAAAGACACGCACATCCTTCGAACTGCTGTCTTCACGACACGCCCATTTGTTGGGTCATTGCCTTCATGACATGCCAATCATTCAGATCATCGCCTTCACGACATAATCATCCTTCCGGTCGATGTCCCACGACATGCCCATCTTTTTGGATCAATGCCTCCACGACACACCTATTCGTCAGACACTATCTCCATGACATATCAACTCTTTCGTGTCACTGCCTCCACGACACCTATTCGTCGGGTTGTTGTCTCCACAGCTTGCCTAACCTACCGGGTCATTGTTTCCACGACACGCCAATTTTTCAAGCCGTTGTTTTCACGCCATGTCCACCCCTCTGGGTCGTTGCCTCAACGTCATGCCCGTCTGTCGGGCCGCTGCCTCCACGATACGCCCACTCTTTTGAGTCACTACCTCCATGACACACTCACTAGCCACTTTTTGCATGACTATTTGCATTTGCATTTGCATGAATTACATGTCATACTTGGTAGGCGAGTGTCCCCGCGATTGTCGCTATGCCTTAACGAACATTATTTGCTAGGTTGATTTCGATGAGCAATGCGAGTTAAAACATCTTAATTGACACGAGTATGACCGTGCTAAGGATCTAAGAGATCTAACTCGTGTCACATAACATATTTAATGACCCTTATTTTAAAACAAAAAAATTCATTTTTCTACTTATTACATTCTCCATAATTTATAAATTATTATGCGCAAATTAAACCATATGTAAAACCAACTCTTTTCAAAATTCATCATGGTTGACACTCTTTAGATCCCTTGGATCCTTATGATGAGGCCAGTGGGGTGATCCCGTCAAAGTCATATGTACTTGAAGACTTACCTTGCACTGTTTAGGACACGTCTCGTTAGATGGTGTGTTAGGTTAGGATTTTTGATTCTAGGTAGTACTTTTGACACCTCTGGCTATTGTTCTCTATGCTAGTCAAGCGTCATTTTTGTGTTTTTTAGCATGTTTGTGTGCTTGTTATGCATGGTAGTATACTAAGACATTCTTCTGTAGAGAGTCGTGTCTATATATATGCAAACACAGAGTTACCTTTAAAGGGGAGCATGCAATTATTTCTACCAATCTTTTACTTGTCGGTGTCGTTTAGCTCCCCCAATGAAAACACATGGCTCATTATACGTTGCATGCTTGTTGGCTTTCCCGCTAATATTGTTTCCATGCAGATCGAGGTTTTACTTTCTTTTTCAAATGTATTTGATAGAGTTTATAGGCTGAGTCTGTATCAGAAATAAGGTACTAGCATGGATTTCGAGGCCCATTAAAATGTCGGGGACCTGAGCTTTTAAATATCTAAGCTCTTTTGGTTTTAAAAATTTTGAAGTTATGGCTTTTAAAATATAAACTTTAAGGGTTTAAGAATATTAAAAGTCAAACTTTAAAATTTAAGCTCATAAGGCTCTAGGGGTGAAGCATAATCCACAAATGGAGTTTTTTTAAAATTTTGAAATTAAAAACACCATTGGATTCACAACATATCTGCCAGCGAACATAATGCGATAAAATGTTTAAAATGAAAACTTGAGCGCAATGCAAAGTCATAATATTCACATAAACTTTCAAGATGTTTAAATAATTTTATGCCTATGAAATTTTTTGATAGTATTTGATTTAAATATAAATGCCTCAATATTTGTGCAAGCTGTTCAAGATGCACTCTTTGAAGCTATTTGATTTGATATATGGTATAAATTATGCAAAATATCTTAAGACATCAAATGCTATAACTAAAATAGGTCAAGGACATGAAATTAGCTGCCCGCATGTGCTCTAACCAACCTATAGAATGCTAAATTACTAGGTTTGAAAATGCTGCGCGGGCTAATAAAGTTGTCTTGTTTATAGGATAGGATTATAAGTCTCACCCAACTGGTCTGATCCTTCTGCTCACAAGGAATGGAGTTGAAAAGTCTAGTACTTTTGAAATGAACTTCCAAATCTTAAAATAAGAATTCATAAGTTTTAATCACCTAATCTGATTGTTCTACATATAAAAATAGGAGTCAACGTGACATATACTTTTAAATCAAGATTTTCAAAGTAATCAATCAAAATGTTCATGTTAAAAATAAATCACTTAAAAAACTTAAATCAAACCCCATCGCCACTCCGCGAGAGTTTGTCAATGGTGATAAATTTCTGACTGATTTTAGCTCCCAAAGAGCTAATGCCATATTAACTTTATCCTTATATTCACAATTAAAGTAATCACACCCCAATAAGGATGTGGCCTTAGTCCTCTATTAAATAATAGTTCTGATATAATGATGAAGTTTGTAATTTTTTGCATTATGATCTCTATTGTCATCACTTTTCCCTCTTAGCTTTTTTAGAATTTTATCAGTGATATAGAAAGGCGCTTTCATAAGCCGCTCTTTTTAGTTTTTTCAATAATTTAGACATAATGGAAATGTCATTTTTTCTTTGTGAAATCTACATGCATACCACACAATTCTTATGTAATTACATATATGACACCCAATGTTTGATATTTACACTTATAACTCCTTGTTGTCATAATATTATGCATGAAAAAGGTGTATTTCACTCTTAAAAAATGCAGCGATGATTGTATTTTTGATGTGAAGTTAAACATTTGAGTGGTATGCATGTAAATTTGAATATAAGGTGTTATGTATGTAAATACATAAGATGTTTGTGGTATGTTTGTAATAATGTAAGTGCCCCTTTTTGTTTAGTTGCTCGTTCCTTTTACCACTTCTGAGTTCCTGCGAGTGTATTTTATTGCATTTGAATGCATATATTTTGAATTGCAATATTGGATAACCATTTTATATTGGTTGTCTCATCTTCATTAAACTGTTTTTGATCTATATATTACTTTTTTTTTTTAGAAAAAGCCCGAGGGCTAATATAATAATACGGAAAAGATATAGAAATGTTATATTAGAGGACTTAAAAGAAAACCCAACTCATACAATACAACACACACAAACCCCAGATAAAGCAAAGATACATAAAGATAAAAAACCAAAAAAGCCACAAAAAAGCACAAAAGTGCTAGTGACGTCCAACTTTAGTCTTTCTGCCTCTAGTTCTCGGAAGTGAGTCCGCTAACAAATTGGTAAGGTGAGTACTATTGCTCGTAGTAACCAAAGTATCATCCATCAGATTCCTGAGCTCAAGTAGATCTCCATTTTTCTTATTCCTCCTGGATGTGTAGACCTGTCATTTCTCATCTGATGATTGACTCATCTGATCGGTAGATTCCAAAGGTGGCCGGACAGGTGTAGGTCGTTGCATGTCATGATCCCCATGAGCCTGAGTAATATTAACATCTTTTTGGACCTGATGAGGCATGAAGCAGTAGAAGTATTCCCACCTGTATTATCGGTGATATGTTCTAGGGCTGAAGAAACTCCCTCTCCCCCACGATAGGAGGTTCCAAAGACGGGAGAGCTACAATTGGGGACTGAATGGTTGTAATATTGCCTGCGAGGATAGTGACATCGTCCGAGGTATCCTTCTGATGATCAATAGTGTCAAAAACTTAGAGCTGATCTGGAGGAGATGAAATCACAGTATCTAGCGGAGCAGTTTGCTTTTTTGGCCTGAGTTGGCGGTGTAGATGGTGACATTGAGAAATGGAGTGTCCGAACATACGTCAGTTCGAACAATACGACAAAAAAAGTTCAATCTTTACCTTCTGTCAATATCCATGGTGTTGTGTGCCCCACCAGATTTCCTCAGAAGCGGGTGGAGTGATGCCTCTTTCAACAAGTACTATGGTTTCAGTAGGACGGTACTTTATCTACATATTGATTACTAGGAAATGTTGGCGACGCCATCTTGACCATTACATTCACTTTTCTTTTCCTCTTGTTTTAACACTGGAACACCAGCTGTACTCATATAATTTATGGAGAAGATGAAGGAAGATTTACATGCATACCTCTCAATTCTTATGTATTTACATATCTAACAGCTAAACTTCAATTTTTATATATGTAGTCTTAATTATGCATGAAAATGTGGATATATTTCACCTTTTAAAAGTTAAAACAATGGTATTTTGATGTGATCTGAAATATTTTGGCGTATAAATGTAAAAATGGAAGTTTTGGCATTAGATATGTAATATGTATGTAAATACCCAGATAAACAGCAACACTATTTAGTTGAAAGTTGAATTACCCATCCCTTAAATATCCATTAATGCTGCAGATGAAGTAAATATGTATTTTTAGGGGCATTTACATACAATGCTACCCAACTCCTATGTATTTACATATCTAACACCTCAACTTTACTTTTTAGATTTATATCACCCAAATCTTTCCTAGCACATAAAAAATATAAGTATTTTAAATTTTAAAAAGTGAGATGCACCTTATCATGCATAGGTAAGTTGATATATATGTAAAAATTAAAGTTTAGTCGTTAGATATGTCAATACATAGAAATCAAGTGGTATATATGTAAATCTTCCTTATGCTGTTTCTGTGCTTGGTCGTTCTAACTTATATTCTGTTAGTTTTTTCTAGTGTATTTGGAGATGATTCTTAATGGATGTTTGGCAACATCTGGGCCTTTTGAGCCAAAATGTCTCTCTTCACCTACAAAACATTCAAGATTTAAACATTGGAGTGGAGCTTCTCAAACTTCTCAGGGCTTTCATTTAAGAGGTATGTGTTTATCTCTTTCTGAATTATTATTTGGATGATTTACATATGTACCACTCATATTTTAGTATTTGCACATCTGCCACTCAAACTTCAATTTTCTTACATGTCACCCTGATGTTTCATATCGCATAAAAAATACCACTAGTTTACCTTTTTCTTGGGTTGGTAAAAATTGAAGCTTTGGTGCTAGATATGTAAATATATAAAAGTGGGCGGTATGTAAGTAAATGCCCTTTATTATGGGCATTTACATACATATCACTCTGTTCCTCTATGTATTGACCTATCTAACACTTAAAACTTTTTTTTTTCCTCGTTTATACCACCCAAATCTCTTGTATCACATCAAAGATACCGCTATTTTAACTTCTAAAAGCTGAAACACACATTTTTAATGTATAGATAAAAGGTGTTAGATATGTAAGTACATAGGAATGAACCGGTATTTATGTAAACATTTCATGAAAATAATGGCAATGGCTCAATGATTTTCCGACGGCAGGATCACTTCTTAAAACCACCCACCTCTCAAATTCATCACCTGTTTCAACTGGATGCCATGGTGCATTTCCGAGAACACTGCCCTCCATTTTTCGCCGGAGCCGTCGAGGAAACTCGGTTTCCCTGAGAGCATCGAAGGATGTTCCGACTAGCTACCGCTACCCTGCGATGACGAGGAAGCCCAGGTGGTGGTGGAGGACCCTAGCATGCATACCGTACCTCATGCCTCTTCACGAGACATGGATGTACGCCGAAACCGCGTACCATCTCCACCCATTCTTGGAGGATTTCGAGTTCCTGACCTACCCTTTCCTAAGGTTCATAGGGAGCCTCCCGGGCTGGTTCCTCATGGCTTACTTCTTCGTGGCGTATCTCGGGGTCGTGAGAAGAAAGGAATGGCCTCACTTCTTCAGGTTCCACGTCGTCATGGGGATGCTTCTCGAGATCACCCTTCAGGTGATCGGCACGGTGAGCCGGTGGATGCCGCTCGCCCTCTACTGGGGCAAGATCGGGATGCATTTCTGGACCGCTATGGCCTTCGCGTACCTCTTCACCGTGCTCGAGTGTATTCGTTGCGCCCTGGGAGGTATGTATGCTGATGTCCCTTTTGCCAGTGATGCAGCCTACATTCAGATCCCATATGATTAATGCTGCATGCTTTTTGTTTAGGGTTTGTCTTGAGATTTCTCCAATACTTTGTCATAGTTTTTGATTTTTTTTGAGGGATGTGTCCTGAATCTGAATGTTTCTGCTTTATGTTAGATGAATTTGGTCATGAAAATGTTCCAATTTAGACTATAGCTTGTTATGAAGGGGGACTTTGACTCATAAAACCATGAATTCTTGTGTATTTGTACATCTAATATCTAAATCTTTATACATTATATATGTAAATATATAAAATTTTAGTGGTATGTGTGCAAATCTATGTGGCTAACCACTAATATTTCATTCAATCAAACATCCCTAAGACTGTAATATGTTTTGCACAAACAAAGTATTTTTCTATGGAATCTTACATAAGTAGTACACAAATCTTATGTATTAGACTGTAATATGTTTTGCACAAACAAAGTATTTTTTAATGGAATCTTACATAAGTAGAACACAAATCTTATGTATTTACAGATCTGTGCACTCAAACTTTCATATTTGCATATATATCTTTGTGTGGGACTTTGTTTTCTTTAGTTTTATGAAGCAGTAAGTGGTATTTTTTGGTGTGATATTAAAGATTTAAGTGCTGTGGGTAAATATGAAAATAGGTGTGATGGAGCATCATAAATTTGAACCACATAAATTTATGTATTTACACATCCAACATCTAAAGTTTGATATTTACATTTATCACCCTTTGATGTCATAAATCGCATTTAAAGTGGTAATGATGGTATTTTCCATGTGGCTTAGGTGAATACAACCAAGTATTATAAAAGTAAAAACAAAAGTAGAAAGTTAAATATAATAAATTGTGGGGGGCAGTAAGTGGTATTTTTTGGTGTGATATTAAAGATTCAAGTGCTGTGTGTAAATATGAACATAGGTGTGATGTGTACATTTATCACCCTTTGATGTCATAAATCACATTTAATGTGGTAATGATGGTATGTTCCATGTGGCTTAGGTGAATACAACCAAGTATTATAAAAGTAAAACCAAAAGTAGAAAGTTATATATAATAAATTGTGGGGGGCTTTGATGCAAATTATGAATTTTCTGCTTGAATTTGTAGTCTCTACTTTTGAACTTAAATGGTCCAATGATTATTCTGAATGAGCTCATCAAGACTAGTAATATTGTTAAAACTATTAAGAGGGCTTTGATGCAAATTATGAATTTTCTGCTTGAATTTCTAGTCTCTACTTTTGAACTTAAATGGTGCAATGATTATTCTGAATGAGCTCATCAAGGCTAGTAATATTGTTAAAAATATTATTTTTCATTTAAATATATATTAATTAACTCTTAATTGACAAGGCTAACATGAGCTCATTTTGAGTAGAGGAAGCTTGAAGAAGTAAGTCTTGGTTGGGAGAAGAGCTCTCCAATTAGTAAGTCTTGGTTGGGAGAAGAGCTCTCTAATTCATATAAAATATCATTTGGCTAAGTTTTGAGGGACAATAACAAGGAAAGAGTAGTATAAGAGTTCCATTTCCAAATCTTCAAGGCAATGTTTATGATTTTGAGCTTATTACATAGAGTGAAGAAAGGATCACATGCAAAATTAACATATTTAAGAAAATCAAGGCGATGTAATTTTTATAATGAAATATGCATTTGGACTTAGGGTATGTTTGGGGCAGCTGCAGCTTATTGAATAATCTGTTGATAAGTAGATTAAAAATAATCTATTATTAAGCTTAGATGTGGTGGTTATTACCAATTTTTATTTTTCGAAAAGCCAGACCGTTGTCAGAAAGCTGTCATCGCACCTAGATAGGTGTCGTTAGGTACGGTGTGAAAACGTTGTTTTCAACATTTTGAAAATGTATAAATTGCCAAAGGCAGCTGCAACTTATTGAATAATCTGTTGATAAATAGATTAAAAATAATCTGTTATTAAGCTTAGATGTGGTAATTATTACCAATTTTTATTTTTCGAAAAGCCAGACCGTTATCAGAAAGCTGTCATCGCACCTAGATAGGTGTTGCTAGGTACGGTGTGAAAACGTTATTTTCAACATTTTGAAAATGCATAAATTGCCAAAACACAGTTTATTCAAACAGGTCAGGTGCATTTTCAAAATGCCACCGCACGAAATAAGCTGCCCCAAACGAGCCCTTAGTTCTATGCCGGAAAAGAGATATTGATAAGAAAATGATCAGAAGTGAGAAGCACCAAAGTCTTAAAATTAGAATGAGAAAATGAATTTATTCATAAATCATTGCAAAAAGTTCTATCTAATAAGTAACACGTAGAGTTTTGAGGTAGCTTGTTAAATTGGGTAAAACAAAGACTTAACAATTTTGATCTCTGAAAAATCATTTTCTACAACATGTTATGATATTGATATGTCAAAATCATTTGCATTTATATAAAGAAAACAACTTTAAATATTTACAATTAAGCTCCCCAAGATCTCACTCAACATCAACACACTAAAAAAAATGGCAATATCAACCCTCCTAATACCTTATAATTCACCATTCATTATAAGTTTTTTTATAAGAAAATCTTACAAATGGCCCAATGCAAGACCAACAAATCTCCCCAACCGCCGCCGCCGCAGCCCCCTCCGGCGAATCCCCTCCATCCCTCCGCCGCTTCATCGCCCTCCTCCGAACCCACACCTCCCTCCCCCACCTCCGGCAAACCCACGCCCTCTCCCTCCGCTCCGGCATCCCTCTCTCCCATCCCCTCCTCACCAAACACCTCATCTTCTCCCTCATCTCCCTCCCCTCCCCTCCCCTCCCCTACGCCCAACTCCTCCTCTCCCTCCTCCCCAACCCTAATCTCTTCACCCTCAACACCATGATCCGCGGCTACTCCGAAAGCCCCCATCCCTCCCCCGCCCTCCTCCTCCACCGCCGCATGCACGCCGCCTCCCTTCCTCCCGACACCCACACCTACCCTTTCCTCCTCAAGGCCTGCGCTCGTCTCCTCGACCTCCGGCACGGTGAGTCCGTTCATTCTCTCTCCGTCAAGAACGCCCATGTCTCGTCTGTCTTCGTGCAGAACTCGCTCCTGCATTTCTATGGAGCCTGCGGGCTCTTCGAGTCCGCGCACCAGATGTTCGAGGAAATGCCCGACAGAAATGTTGTCAGTTGGAACTCTGTTATCAATGGCTTTCAGCTTCAGAAAGTGATATATACCTCTTTTATACACAGGTAAGGTTCTATGAAAAAAAAAAAAAAAAAAAGTAAAAATAAATAAATAAATAAAGTTTTTTACATAAATACCACACAATTATTATGTATTTACATACATAACCCCCTATTCTTATGCAATTACCTATCTCACCCTCAAAACTCTCATTTTTACAAATCTCTTTGCAACAATATAAAAATAAGAGTTTGGGTGTGAGATCGGTATATTTATAAGAATTAAGTATTACATATTTAAATTTCCGTACCTATCTCACCCTCAAAACTCTCATTTTTACAAATCTCTTTGCAACAATATAAAAATAAGAGTTTGGGTGTGAGATCGGTATATTTATAAGAATTAAGTATTACATATTTAAATTTCCGTATTTTTTTAATGTGATATTTAAGATTTAAGCCTTATTCATCTAACTATGAAATTTTAGATGTTGAATTAAGTATTACATATTTAAATTTCCGTATTTTTTTAATGTGATATTTAAGATTTAAGCCTTATCCATCTAACTATGAAATTTTAGATGTTGATATGTATATATATATCCTATAATCCTATGTATGTAAATATACAAATTAAAAGTGTTTACATGTCTAAGTACATAAAACAATGTGATATATATGTAAATAATAATAAATTATATATTTTCATTTTTATCCATTAATTCTTATCAAGGTATTAGACGAAGAAGATGGCGTTAAGCCTGACGGATTCACCATGGTCAGTCTTCTCAACGCCTGCGCGGAGCTCGGTGCCCTCTCCCTTGGCCGCCGCCTTCACCTCTACATCATCAAGTCCGGCCTGTATCACAATTCGCATGTAGGCAACGCTCTGATCGATCTCTACTCGAAATCCGGCGTCGCGGTCGATGCTCGGAAGGTGTTTGATGAAATGCCTCACAGAACTGTTGTCTCATGGACCTCCCTGATTGTCGGCCTAGCTGTCAATGGTTTCGGCAAGGAAGCTCTCTGGTTGTTCTCAATAATGGAGATTGAGAAGCTGAGGCCGACCGAGATCACTCTCGTCGGAGTCCTTTACGCCTGCAGCCATTGCGGCATTGTCGACCAAGGTTTCCGATTCTTCAACAAGATGAGAGATGAATACGGCCTAGTCCCAAGAATCGAGCACTACGGATGCATGGTGGATCTCCTCGGACGTGCCGGGCTCGTCGACAAAGCTCACGAGTTCATTCTAGACATGCCGATGGAGCCGAACGCCGTCGTATGGAGGACCCTGCTTGGGGCTTGCGCGATGCACAAGCGAGTTCGACTGGGTGAGCTCGCTTGGACTCGGCTCACGGAACTGGATCCTGGACACAGCGGCGACTACGTCCTGCTATCTAATTTGTATGCAGGTGGGAACAGATGGGCAGACGTGCAGAAGCTGAGGAGGAGCATGATCAAAGGAGGGGTGAAGAAGACTCCTGGGCACAGCCTCCTGGAGCTGGGCAACAAGGTCTATGATTTCATGATGGGAGACCGATCGAATCCCGAGACCGATTTGATATATGCGAAGCTCGAAGAGATTGCAAAGCGGCTGAGGAAGGAAGGGTATGTCGCGCGGACGACGAACGTGCTGGCCGACATAGAGGAGGAGGAGAAGGAGACTGCTCTGGGCTATCATAGTGAGAGGTTGGCCATTGCCTTTGGCTTGATGAAATCTGCTCCTGGTGCTGGGATAAGGATAGTGAAGAATTTGAGAGTTTGTGAGGATTGTCATTTGGCCATTAAGCTTATTTCAAAAGTGTATGGGAGGGAGATTGTTGTGAGGGATAGGAGCAGATATCATCATTTTAGTGATGGAGTTTGTTCTTGTAAGGATTATTGGTAGATTGAGGTAAAATAGTGAAAAAGTTGTCTCAAATGAGAGGATATTAACAAAACATTCAAATAAATCTAACCTGCTACCTGCAAATCATTATTACATGTTTCCAAACATCATAATTCCAACAATATTCCCAAATAAATTATATATATAATGAAGTCCTATGTATTATGGGAAGAAGCTCCCCATCCTCCACCACCTGGAGTTAAGATCTGAAGAACCTCACCAGCTTCAACCTCAACTGTGTTCTTACCTCCCAAATAAACCCTCCTCTTATCCTTCCTGATCAGATAATTAGCCCCACGAGATCCATTCTCCCCACCCTTCAAGCCTCTCGGAGCAAACACTCTCCTTTCACTGAGCACACTCACGACAACCGGCCGCCGGAATTCAATCTCCCTCACAAGACCATCACCGCCTCTGTAACGCCCGGCTCCGCCGCTCTCCGGTCGAAGGCCGAACCTTCGCAGCAAAACCGGATATCTCTGCTCGAAAATCTCTGGGTCCGTCATCCGCGTGTTCGTCATGTGGCATTGAACTCCACTGGTTCCATGCCAGTTAGGTCCAGCTCCACTACCCCCACCAATTGTCTCATAGTAACCAAAACTATTGTCTCCAAAGGTTAGATTGTTCATGCAGCCCTGGGAGCACGCACAAGCCTGGAAAGCTGTGAGTACCACATCAGTCACTCTCTGTGAAGTCAGCACATTGCCACCAACAACTGCAGCTTTCTCACTTGGAGAGAGGAAAGAGCCTTCCGGAATGGAGATTTTTACAGGTGCCAGACATCCCTGATTCAGAGGGATGTCAACGTCAAGCAGGCAGCGAAGACAGTAGATTACGGCGGCGGCTGTCACCGCCGGCGGGGCGTTCCAGTTACCATAGACTTCCGGGCTGGTTCCGTTAAAATCGAAGGTGGCTTCGCCGGTTTTTGCATCGATGGAGAGCTTTAAATGGATGACAGAGCCATCATCCATATAGTCCTCTTCCTCGATGATGCACGAGCGAGTGGCGGCCACCGACTTCAGCATCTCCCTGACCGCATCTTCAGCATTTCGCTGGACGTGAATCATGTAGGACTGGACGGTTTCCAATCCGTGCTGCACGATGAGTTCTTTGATCAGGGATATCCCCCTCTGGTTTGCGGCCACCTGAGCTCTGAGATCAGATAGATTGTCGCTGAGCCTACGAGTTCCTGGAATCTTAAAACCAGAGTTTTCGTCGGAGTTTCGTGATCGAAGCAGATTGATGATTCTCTCTTCCTGGAAGATTCCTCTATCAACAAGTTTCAGTGCTTTAATGGCAGCTCCTTCTTCCCAAATGGATTTTGAGAAAGGAGGCATGCTCCCAGGAGTAATGCCACCAATCTCTGCATGGTGACCTCTGCTTGCCACGAAGAAGACAAGCTTTGAATCATCAAAAACAGGAGTGACAACAGTTATATCAGGTAGATGGCTTCCACCAGCACATGGATGATTGGTTACCAAAACATCGCCTTCATGAAGATCGTCGCCCCAATACTCAAGTTGCCATCGAACGGTGCTCGACATGGCTCCAAGATGCACGGGTACGTGCGGGGCGTTCGCAACAAGTCCACCGTCTGGACTAAACAAAGCGCAGGAGAAGTCGAGCCTCTCCTTGATATTCGTAGAAATGGAGGTTCTTTGTAGAGTCCGGCCCATTTGTTCTGCGATGCCCATGAATCTATGATTGAAGATAGAGAGTTGCACAACATCTGCAATTTGTTCAGATATTTTGATGGTGTTTGGGGACGAATCAATCTCGATTTTTATATTTCCATACTTGGTAATTGATGCCCTGCACTTGGGCTCGACGATCACGGTGCTGTTTCCGTTCATGATGATTGCAGGGCCTTCCAAAATGTGTCCATATCCCAACTTCTCAAGCACAAACAATGGAGTATGTTGCCACCCAGATCCAAAATAGATCATGCATTCACCCTCATTCACAGGGTTTCCTGAAACCGGCTTGAGCTCACGAGGCCTCAGAATGTTCGTAACTCCAATACCTCGAACTCTCACATCAGAGATGAGAATTTTCCTGTTCTGAAGCTTGAATCCATACTCTTGCTGGAAGAGCTTCACAAACTCAGAAGCAAAATCGTTTTCTTCGCCTTCTACATGCCGCTTCACCATGATGGCAGTGTCAGTACCCTCATATCTTAAGTTCAGATACGACTCAGTTGCAATGTTTTCGTCGCTAAATCCTTGCTCTCGTAGCTTCTGCTTTACTTTATCTTTTAGCTGCAACTCTCGTCGGGCTGCCTCCATGGATGAATCTGGAGCATAAACCGATGCATAAGGCTCTTGTGATTCTTCAACAACATCAGCCAAGCCCATTCCATAAGCGCTCAATATGCCACAGTATCGGTGGATGAGTACTTCAGACATACCCAATGACCGAGCAATGGCGCAGGCGTGCTGAGGGCCTGCGCCTCCAAAGCAGGCGAGGGCATGGTTTCGGGTCTCATGTCCCTTCATTTCTGTTAATTGTCGGATCGGTCGACACATCGTCTCATTAGCCACATTGATAAAACCAAGAGCAATCTCTTCCACAGTCATATCCTTGGCAGATGGGTCCTGTCTTCTTTTATAAGAATTTATCTCAACAGACAACTTTTCAAATGCTTTTCGGGTAGATTCAACATCTAAAGGCTGGTTTTCATCTGGACCGAAGATGGAGGGGAAGAAATCTGGAATAACAGTACCCAGTATCAAATTAGCATCAGTAATGGCTAACTCGCCACCCTTTCTGTAGCAAACTGGACCAGGATGAGCCCCCACAGATTCAGGCCCAACACGGAAGGATCCAAACTGGAACTTGAGCTTCGAACCGCCACCGGCAGCAACAGTGTTTATATCAAGCTGTGGGGCTTGAATTATGGCTCCAGCAATCTGAGTCTCCAGTACCTGTTCATAGCTTCCGTCGTAGCGGCTAACATCAGTTGATGTGCCACCCATATCAAATCCGATCAAAGGTTTTGATGTTTCGAGACCAAAGAGGGTTTGTGAATAGCCGACGACCCCTCCGGCAGGCCCTGAAAGAACAGCTTTATGGCCAGAAAATCGCTGCTCCGGAGCCAGACCGCCATCTGATTGCATGAATAGCACATTCAACTTCTCCGCACCCCCCTCAAATTTAGACATGAAGCCAGTTAAGTATTCCTTGATGACTGGGGTTAAGTATGCATCGACGCTAGCCGTCAGACCTCGAGGCACCGCACGGATCATTGGAGTCAAAGAGGAAGACAGCGAAACATGCCTGAAACCCATGCTCAAAGCTAACTTCTCGATCATGATTTCGTGGTGACGGTAAGTATAGGAATGGATTAAAACAACAGCCAAACATTTAATTCCTTTGGATAGTAACCCATTCAAGAGAGGTTTGAGTGCTTCGACGTCCAGGGGTTTCGACACAGTGACAAGCTCCCCAGAAACACCTTCGACCACGGAAGGAGAGGAATTCAGCTCCGGGGGTTCGAGAAGAAGTTCTATCCTCTCGTCCGCCTCAATTACCTCCTCATAGAGATTAGAAGGCTTGGAAACTTTGAGATCAAATATGTTTGGACGTGCTTGGTTTCCAATTTGCAGCAAATCCTTGAAACCTTTAGTCACACAAAGAGCAATCCTTTCACCTTTACGTTCAAGAAGAGCGTTTGTGGCAACAGTGGTGCCCATACGGATCCATTCAATCTTGTCTGTGGGAATTTTTGAAGAGCGGGGGATTTTATTACCAGTGTGCTCTTCAAGGATTCTCCTAATTCCTTCGATGGGGGCATCTTCATAGTTTGCTGGATCAACTGAGAGAAGTTTCATCACACAACAATCGTTTCGACCGGGAACTTCTGCATAGATATCTGTGAATGTTCCACCCCTATCAATGCAGAACTTGAACTTCTCCTCCTTGTTGGTTCCCATTTCAAGCTTCTCACTTAGGGTATCTTAATGTTATTGCTACAAGAAAATCCATGGCGGTTTCAGCATATAAATCAGTGAAGCATCGCGCTTCATAGTTAAAATTAAAATGCACGCTACACAGTTAAAATTAAAATTAGAAAAGTGTCAAAATGATTCTGACTATTTATAATTTTCATCACAGAGTCTATAAAAATGTCAAATTAGTTCATAGACTCTTTTAATATGGGCTGAAAATAGTCTCCAAAGAGGATTATTTTAGCTGCTCATAAAAAAATCTTAGGACAAAATTGACATTTTTAAAGACTTCTACGCTAAAATGGACCCCCTGTAAAGAGTTAGGGGGCCAGTCTGATACTTTTCTCAAATTAAAATAAAATAGGATACTTTAAACTTACATTATTTCTAGAAAAAAATACAAAAATTATGGAATAAAATTATAATGAGTCACAAAAATTACTACATTTAACAAGCGTAGATAATTACTTGTTTTACATATATCATGCAACTAAACCTTATAATGAATGCTATTTGTTTATCAACATTTTCATCAAAATATCTATTTAGTCTAATAATTGAATAAAAAACAATAAATCTATCTACTACCTCAATTTTGATTGTTCTATTGTAGTAAGGCAACTCCAAGTTTGTCTTTATCTTGAAGGGGAAATATTCTTCTTTCCTACTTATATGATTATATTCTTCAAAGATTCTCTCTTTGCTTATGGATTCTCCTCTGTAGGTTGTCTTTTGTTTGATTTCTCTCCTTCGGTTAGGATAGGTGGTGGAGCAAATGATGGTTGTGCTACCTTAGCAACAGAAGTTTCAAAGGCGGCCATTAATATAGCCATTTGGTCCATCATTGTGGCCATATGATCAAACATCATTAATATATCCCTTCATATTGAAAGTCATGTTTTATGTGTTCATGTTTTCTCCTCGTAGTTAGTGATCAAACCTTCATAAAATCACCAAAAGTATTTTTCCCAGTCCTAAACCATGAAAACATTTCATGCAAGTATTCATATATTCTCATTGAATCCAAACTTGCATTAAAATAAAAAAAAATTGATCTCTATTTATAAAAACTCAGTAAAAATAGACAAATCTATTCAAATTAAAAAAATAATAATAATCAAATATAAGAACTAGCTTTTAAAATAGAAAACTAGTTCAAGATTTGGTTAGATCAGCTCCTTCAGCCTCGTGCTCCAATGAGTCGAGTGGTCCCACTAAACCCACACCGACCCCACCAAACAATTTGAAGAACTATTTTAGGTGCAAGATTAAAAGGACAATTTATTCATTTATTAGTTATTATTGTTTGGTATAAATTGGGCTTAATGTGATTAGGGTTAGGGTATGCGATTGTTTTCTTTAATCTTAAGAGCTAGAGTTTGGGAGAGAATTGCCTCTTGAATTATAGGTATATTTTTTATGTATTCGGGATTGAGTTTTTTTTTTGTGCCGATGGAGTAAAATATTTTATTTTGCCCTAATAGCTGTGGAAACTTGTCTCGTTCCTATTAAATTGGTATCAACATCATACCTGGGAGTAATGGCGGCCAATTAAGTTGGTGCTTTGAAGGAGCAATTAGATAGAGAGGCAAGACAAACTAAATCAAGAATGGAGTGTTTCTCGTCCATGGAGGGGTGGTTCGCGTCCATGGTGGGGCAATTCATGATAGGGCAATTCATGACAGGGCAATTCATGGCCCTTGAAGAAATTATGAAGAAGATCATGGAGCTTCATGCAATCCCTCCGCTGCCTGCCATGAGATCAAGTGACGGTGTCTCAAGCAGACTCAAGCAGCAACATTGAAAAGGTACCGTGTGGCATTAGGATCATGCAAGGGGCAACTTCACCACCATATGCGAATTTGGGGTTGTGGGATAGAGCTAGTGTCTGAAGCGGACTCGAGCGGCGGCAACCAGAAGGGATTGCTCGACATCACGAGGGTTGGAACGAGCATCAACAGGCAAAACGAGACTGCGGTGTGTGATTTGATTATGAAGAAAACCGTTTAAAGGAATTTGATCGAGGGGACTGCACAACATCAGGAGGGTTAGAGCGAACGACATCAACGGAACAGGATGGAAGCATGTGATTCGGGGTTAGAGAAGATCGATTTGAAGGATTTCATTCTAGAATAGGGAAGCACGGCGGGTGGAACCCTTGAAGTGGGCTACATCTAAAAGTGTTAGTGTGTTTTGTTGTGGCAGCTGCAGCAGTCTTCCGAGCGAAAGCCGATTCAGAAGCATATAAGAATGGACGAGTTAATTATGAGGCAAGCAAGACTTATAAAAGAAAAGAAATTAATATAGGCCAAGGAAGAGAACCCAACCACCGCTTCGTGGGTTGAACAAGCTTCGGTAGGGGAAATTGAGTAGAAAAGTCACGCAAAAGGAAGATAATGATGTTGATATTTAAAGGATATGATGTATGTGTTTGGGTTTATAGCTCAAACAAATATTTTGTTATTAATGGGCTACAACAACAACAACAAAACCTATATCCCACTAACTGGGGCCGGCTACATGAATCCTTTTTCTCCATTGCGTCCTATTTAGTGTCATATTTTCATTTAATTCTAATAAATTAAGATCATTTTTTTATACAATATGCCCAATTCATCCTAGGTCTACCTCTACCTTTCTTAACATAAGTCGAATATAAAACATCTATGCTTCTAATCAGATCATTAGATGGTCGACGTTTAATGTGACCAAACCATCTAAGATAACTCTCTCTAATTTTGTTCGTCAGTGGAGCTACATCAACCCTATCACAGATATATTCATTTCACATTTTGTCTCTAAGTGTAAAGTCACTAATCCACCTAAGCATTCTCATCTCGGCAACAATTAACTTAGTTTTATGCTTCTCTTTTAAAGACCAACATTCAACGCCTTAGAGCATTGCCGTTAACCAACCAACCTGAATTCTACTAATAACATCCCATCAATATCACCATCACTTTGAACGATAGACCCGAGATATCTAAAGCGTTCACACCTTTTAATAATTTGATCACCCATAGTTACATTTCTGTCACTAGAGCTACTACTACTAAAATTATATTACATGTATTCGGTTTTAGTTCTACTCAAACGCCCCCAGTGTAGACCTCCATAATGCAAGTTTTTCCTGAGCTTTTCTCTCGTCTTATCCATGAGAAGTATATCATCAGCAAAAAGCATACACCAAGGTACATCCTTAGGTAAGTGTCTAGTAAGACCCTCCATAACTAAAACAAAAAGATATGGGCTTAAAGCAGATCCCTGATGTAAACCAACAGAAATAGGAAAATATTTGGTCAATCTTTCTTCTGTTTGAACACAAGTAACGACTCTTGTATACATATCTTTAATGACTTGAATATAAGTCATATCAACACCTTTCTTCTCAAGAACTCTCCAAAGGATATCTCTTGGAACTTTATTGTAAGCCTTTTCTAAATTGATAAAAATCATATGTAGATCCTCCTCAATATCTCTGAACTTCACCATCAAATCTCTCAATAAAAGTATAGCTTCCATAGTAGACCTGCCCGACATAAATCTAAATTGATTATGAGAAATCTTTGTAATACGTCTTAACCTATGTTCAATTACCCTTTCCGATAATTTTAAAGTATGACACATCAACTTAGTTCCTCTATAATTTGCACACTCTTGTGCATCCCTTTATTCTTAAAAATGTGGATCAAAATACTCTCCCCCCACTCCTTAGGCATCTTTTTAGTTTTTAAAATAATTTTAAAGAGTTTAGTAAGCCAAGAAACTCCCAAATCTCCTAAATATTTTCACACTTCAATTGGGATATCTTCCGGTCCTACAAACTTTTCACCTTTTATTTTCTTTAAAGCCTCATCAACTTCTTTCTTACTAATGAAATGGTATTATTAACGATAATGAAGGAAAAAAAATTGATGACAACGGCTCTTTGTTTGGAATAGAAGAACGTAACAAAGAGCCGCTGTCAATGAATTCTTTTTGGTTGACGTTACGATCTTTTTAGTATGGTATCAATGAAGAACGTAACGTCAACCAATCAGAACATGGGAAGAATTCAATGACCCATTGTTGGAGCGTTTTATAACCACACAAAAAAGAGATTTACACAAGTGGTTATCCATGAAAGATCTGTCATGTATTATAGGAAGAAATATAAGATGTTATTCGACCATTTGAGAGGGATATCAAAAACAATATTGAAAGGAAACTTCATGAAGGGGATGAAACCAAAGATTTAAGTAGCACTTCATCTGTTGAGATCGCGATGATTTGAGAAACTATAGAATTAGCACAATTCATTGAAAATAAAAATGCAATGAAACAAAATTTCAAGAGAAGCGAGCCAAAGGGATATGTTTTTTGAGTAATGAGAAGTTTATTTTAGGACACCGTTGCAAGGTTCTGACCTTACAGGTTCTCACAGTGCTGATGAGAAAGCGGGAGAGTATGAAGAAACAGAGGAGGTTATGGTGGAGGATGATGAACACCCCCACTTAGATGTGGTAGAAGTCTCATTGAACTTGGTGATGGGGTTCCACCAAACCACAACATGAAACTTTAGGGATAGATAGGGGAGCAAAACGTAGTGTTGTTGGTAGATAGTAGGTTTATCCAAAACTTCATCTCCACTCAAGAAGTGGAGCAATTGGGGCGTGAGATGATTTTGCACAGGAGGCCTTGAAGTATTGATGGTGATGGAACAGATGGAGAAGTGCAAAAGAGTCTATAGAGTATTTAGGTGCTAGAGGGTTTTCTTCCCTTAAATTAAGGGAGCAGCGATATTAAATTAGGGTATAAAATGGTTGTAATCCTTAGAAGAGACAAAAATGAATCGAGAACTTCTAATAATGGAGTTTCAGGAGCAATATAAGAGGGTAGTGTTTCACGATTACCCTATTTTGTGCAAAACCTCGGTGACACTCAAGACCATGATTAGGACAATTCATGATGCAGGGTTAAGATTCTTTGTCGAGTTGCATAGCATGGAAGAGACGCATGATAAGAAATTTGCAGAAATTCTG